GAGAGAGAGAGAACGAGAGAGCGAGAGAGACAAAAGGTGAGAGAGTGAGAGATAGTGAGAGAAAGAGAGAGTGAGAGATAGTGAGAGAGAGAGAGAGAGAAAGAGAGAGAGAGAAAGAGAGAGAAAGAGAGAGAGAAAGAGAGAGAGATAGATAGATAGATAGAGAGAGAGACTATCTGATAAGATTATAGTGATCACTTCTCATAACATGACCTGAGAATATTCCTGGCTACGTAAGAAACCACACAGGGAGTCCAGTTTACTGAACACTTTACCAAAGGCTGACACTTCTGATGTGTTTGTTGAAGCCACAGTCAACGAAAGCTCTTCTTTGACTCTCACTACATGACCGCGAGGGTAATTTGTTTACGCAGCGATTTATCAAACCCGAGGCCTGCTCTTTCTCCTTAACCCAGCAGTTTGTGAACGCCGCTTGTCATTTTCATAAGTTACAAGACTGATAGTATTGCGTGAAATCTTAAACAGTTAGCTTGCGGAACGCTTCCTTTATTGGCGTGTGAAGAGATTTCCGTCACCACCACGAAGGTTATGGTACTGATTGGGTGACCAAATTTATTAAAGACAGGCAAATTCCTATCTCTTACTACAATGAATTAACGTCTGTTACAATACCGGGTGACGTTTACTTGTATCTGTCTCCATAACACATAGATCAGGTGGCATTCGTAGTCAAGATGTAAGGCTACCGGACCCGTAACCGTGGAATTTCGTGTTCGGAGTTCGAGCCTCGTTGTGTCCTTTGGAAAGACAGAGTTTACACAGATTTCCTATTAAATGGCGCTGTCCTTTCGGAGCTGGACGTTATACACGGGGGTTCTGCCTCTTAAAGAAACTAATAATGTTGATGGGGGCGTTAAACCCATACCATTTCCCATTTTCAAAGAGAGATCTACTGCTTTAGGTTAACTCGTTGTCTATCCGTTATATTTCCCACGACTTAAAGAACTGATATAGAGTTGCACATAATAATTATGTATTTATACAGCTGCGATAATTACGTGATTTTTTTTCTTTTTCTGAATTCGTAATCTCGGACAAAGTAATGCTTACAGTTCCAAGTCATTGAGAAAAGCACATTCAAAATAAATTAGTTGATAAAAGTGATGTCCACAGAGGCAGATATCCCCTATCCGCCTACCAATATTTCCACACTAAAACCCAACCCTTAAACGAAGCCTTTAACTTAAAACGATGTTTTCGAGATGTGCTCTATGCAAGTATGTGACGAGAAAGTTCTTGATATATTTTCCCGCTATGTTTCGGTAAGAAAGAAATCACACACACTACCAGAAACTCCAGTTTTGATGCTCTAACACACACAAATACACACAAACATACACACGCAATACAAAAACGTATCGGTTACAACCCCCTCGTGATGGGATAGATAGCCAGATAGCTAGACTGCTAGATAGATAGATAGATGGACACACACCCTCGACTCAGTCAATAGACTCTAGATTATGGTGCGGAAGATATTGGTTCGACTCTACAAATGTTTTTTAACGTGGATTGTTTGAAGAGTTTTCAAGGCTACGCACAGACTTGGGTCTGTTCTTTAGGTAGGTGTTAAAATAGAGAGATCCCGGCTCTTAAAAAAACTGGAAATTAAAAAAAATAGTTGTTATCATGCCATACTAGACCGTATCAGGGTGCACTCTTAGTTCAGCTGGTACCAAGCGGATGGTACCGGTTCGAATCCAGGCGTTCTTGAACTCGGGTCGCTTTGTGAAATTTTCAAGGCTCTCAATCCGTTTGGTTCTGTCCTATCGGAGATGGACGTTAAATTCGGAGGTACTGCACCTTAAAAAACCTGGTAGTGTTGGTAGGGGTGTAAAACCCCTACAGTTATTTACTTACTAGTCTGTACCGTGGCTGGAGGCGAAATGTTCGGCGTTACGATGGCACAGTGTTCCGATAGCCATCACCTTTCGATCTCACGGATCCTTTCAGTTCCACAATACTGAAGGTTTTTAATGCCTCTGAATGCTTTCACCTGTTAGAACTTCTTCTATTCTCTTCGTGTTTTCAGAGCTGATCGTATCTGAGCGGGATTAAAATTCCTTTGAATCTCCTATCTCGAGAGGTTCCCAAATCAATACCGAGCTATGGGGGTATCAACATAAACACACTGCTATACAACGGGCGTTTCTGGTGTCTAGGTGCAAGAAACTCTACCTGAAATAAAAGGAGGAATAAAGGCTTTCGATCACTATTACACCTGGTAGCGAAAGGGGGCTTAGTTAGGGCTTCAAAAATGGGAAACACCTTCATCATTTCTATTCCAGGTTTCTTTCAGTTGGACTAAGACATTTCTTTGCCAGCACAATTTTCTCAATCTAATTTTTTTTTAAAAATGTGAGTGTAAATAGCTACAGCATGAACCCCGTTTTCTGTTTATGGACTGTCTCTTTGAGAAAGACGAATTGTGATTGAAAGGGCGTGTTATTGCCACTGTACAAGTGTGTTTAACCTGCAGTTAGATTTAAATTTGTGTATTTTATACAGAGCTGTATTATCTTATTTAACAAATGGTTATGAGCACATTATTTGAATTCTGATAGAGTGGGAAACAATGAAGAAGTTAAACTGAGGGAAGCTCAAACACACAAACCTATAAACACACACACACACACACACACACACACACACACACACACACACACACACACACACACACGCACACACACAGAGAGACTGGGCGTTGGCGCCCAGCGACCCCCGGGGCGGCGCAGGGGGAGGGGCCTGACTGAACTTCCCGCACTGCCTCCACGAGGGAGGGCGACCATCAGCATAGACAGGTAAAGATCTTGTCAGTTTGATAGTACGCTCGCGTAGAGGGTCGAGGACGCGGCTGGGCGGAGCAGTTCCGCAAAAGCGGAGTATGTACTTGACTGTATGGAGGTAGCTTGGGTGAAAGACGAGAATAGTCGGGGGCAGAGCTGTCCATATATATATATATATATATATATAAATATATATATATATCTGATTCATTTCTCTTTCTTGTTTTTAATAAAGGGGTTAAATTGTACAATGATTCCCCTCATCCATTTCTCTTTCCAGCTTTAACGAAAGGGTAAAAATGTTTGATATTTCTCGTATTCACCCCTCTCTCCCAGTTTTGACGAAGATGGTAAAATGTATGATACTTCTCTCTTTCACTTTTCTCCTAGTTTCAACGAAGGAGCCAACATGTACGACATTTCTCTCACTCCCTTCTCTCTCTCTCTCTCTCTCCCCCTCCCAGTTTCGACAAAGGGGCCAAAAATGTCCGGCTGGAGGAACAGATCAAGCTGCAGCACCTGGAGCAGCTCATGCAGGAGTTCTCCCGACACAAGCCACCGGATATCCTGGTACAGGAGGGTTCCGGCTACTTTCCCGCCAAAGTGCAGAAGCGAACGGCCGGGTGTATGAACCTACAGGAGTTCAAGGACACCATCTTCCGTGTGCTGGCCACCAACGAGTATGATGAGTACCTGGAGAAGTTGTTTATGAAGGTGAGGGACCTTTCTCACTGAATCTCTTCTTAGGGTACAGGTCCAACGCCCCTAGCAACACTGTTAGGTTATTTAGGAGGCAGGACCCATGGGAAAGTCGTGTAAAGTGCTTTTCCCAAGCACACAACGTGAGATCGAGTTGAGGTTCGAACCCTCGAACCCGCAATCTCCGGTAGTCTAACCACTATTCCATCGAGGTCACCTTTTCTCTCTGAGTAATTGGAACAGTTGTAAATAAAGGCTAGTCACCCTATCCACGTAAGTGTATTTTAAGAAATTGTTTACAAAGACGAAGAACATTATTCCTTAAATAGTTATTAGAGAAGTTGTTTATGAATGTAAGGGAGCCTTACTCTATAAGTAATAAATAGAAATGTTGTTTATAAGGGTGATCAACCTTTTCCTGAAAGGAGTGTTTGGGGAATTTGGCTCTGAAGGTGAGGCACCTCATCAGCCTAAGAGCGTGTTATGGAGAGGTTTTCTTGGAGGTGAGAGATGTGATGTACTAGTGAGTATTCAGATTAATTGTTGATAATAGTGAGAAGTCTTAGTAAATACGTAATAATTAGGGGAAAAAACAACAACCACATATTTTGGGGAAGTTGATTAAGAAGGTGAGGGACCTTAGAAGCAAACAATAAAAGCAACTTAAATACAGTCACATTAAAGGAACACTGACATAAATACACCCAAATAAACATTGTCATGCCTGTGTCATCTCATAGTTGGACACCTCGTGTGACGGGTACGTGGACTGGAATGAATTCTGTACCTATCTGCTCCTGCTCTACCGGGAGAACGACTACCTAGCCACCAAGCGGGAAATCCCGTTTTTGGCTGAACCTAAAATTAGGCACATCGTTTACAACAGGGTGAGTATTCTTGGATTTTTTGTTGTTGTGATTTCATGCAAGTGACTACTAGTTATCTTGCATATTATTCGCCTTTTGATGTTTATGAAAACGCTCGTCAGTACAGTTCAGATCTTTTTGAAGGTAGACTGCTTCCAGTCTGCCTGCAAGAGCCAAACCGGATTTTTTGTTTAAAAAATACCTATCAGCGGTAAAGAGAAGATAATAAAAACAAGGCAAATTATATGGAAATATAATTAGGTATAAGAGCAGAAAAAGATGCAGATTCTTTGCAATTCACGGTTGATGAAGAATGGTTAAACTTGGCAATTTAAAAAACAAAGACTAACGTTTATTCTAAAGTTATTGACGATGATTAAATGAAATCCGTCAATTTGATCATTGACGATGCCCCCCCCCCCCACACACTCTCTCGTATACAAGCCCCCCCCCCCCACACTCACGCGCTCTCGTATATGAGACCTCCCCCGCCCCCCCACACACTTTCTGGGGAAAGAGACCCCCCCTCCCCCACTCACTCACTCTCGGATATGGGACCACCCCCCCCCCCCCGCAAGAACTGTGCCTCAGCGGCCAGCGACCGACCAGAACTCATAAATTAATTTTATCTTAAACAAGAGAGCTCATGATATGTTTCCTGAAAATAAAATCACACTCTAATGTTTAGTTTTTCTGAATAATCAGCAAACATAGATTGTGTTTGATTTGTACACAGAGTTGTAAGTGCCGCTTTAACAATATTTATTATTTTCGAAAATGAAACGGTATAAAACAGTGTTCCTTTGCATTGAAAGCAAAGAATGAGTATTGAATAATTCTTTTGTCCCATTATGCAGATAGCTTGAAGGTGAAAATACCGGTCATGTATCCGGTATCGAATGTTTTCTTTAATATTTGATTTCAAAAGGATAAAAAAAACCCCAACCCAACAACAGCACTTTCATTTTTGTGTTTAACATTCATGTAATTGAATGCAGATACAAAACGTTTCTCTTTGTGATTTTTTTCCTTTTTTCTTTCCAGCAAGAACAAACAACGAAGATTGTGGCTGTACATGGCCCAACAAGATACGTCACAATCAGCAAGGTAAAGGACAGATACGTTGACAGTGTCTTGTTCCTCTGTTCCCCCCCCCCTTCTTTTGTGAGGCTTTTGCGTCTTCCTCAACGCAGGAAGACTGTTCAACAGTCAAAACCGCTTATATAACGTCCTTCGTCGACGTTATCGAGCCACGCAGCGTAGAGCAATGAAAAGTTAAAAAAATACATTATCGAGTCAAACACATGCCTAATCGAATATGTGGAGCTGTCTGCATCTCGGTCCAGCATGGCAAGCGAAATAAAGATAATACATTATGTATTTGGCTTTTCACGATAGGCCTCTTCGACAAAGGTAATCGAAAGACTTTGCTATCTCCCTTTATTCCGACTGAGGAACGAATTTACTTCCTTTGACGCACCTAATTCTGTATTTTCTATGACATGCTCAAAAAAGAAAAAAATTCCACCTTTGAGATCAAAAGATAAAAGCAATTAGTGGACTAAGGCCATTGAAATATCTTATAATTAACAACTGGTTTAATTTGTCACTTTCCAAATTTCCAACTTTAGTTTTACAGTTTATCTAGTTGTGTGTTATAGTAATTCACTATATTGTTATCAAACTAATGATGGCAGAAAAGAGTTGGACTAAGGTTCTCTTTTGCATGACGACAAATAAATATAGTAATTACATCCTTTCAATTTACAACACCCTTTGTTTCAATTGTTTATCTTCAACGGCACTATATAATGGCGGTCCAAAATGCAACACGCAAAGCCCACGTCCATTCATTACATCTTCCGTCGACACATTGCGCAAGCGGTATAAGAGGACAGAAAAAAAGTTTAAAAAAATTAAATTGTCGGCCAACTGTTAAAATCTACGAAGCCCAAAATTTTGAAATCTGTTTTTATCGCTGTTTCTTAATCTGTTGTAGAATCGGTTGCATTTGCTGAAGAAATGCTCTGTCGCAATCTGAATTCTAAATATTGAAAAAAAAATACATAACTGATAAAAGAATGAAACCCCTTTTCTCTCTCCTGTAAAATAATACTGCTTAATGGACTTAATATATTTAAACAGCTTGCCGTTGAAATGTAAGGTTAGAATAAATTATCTTCCTCCTCTCCAGGAAGGTGCTTTGACCGTCTGGCAACCTAATATGCTCTTAGAAAAACATTACGTGATAGCCGAGGGCGAGGAGGAGCAGAGTGCTCAAAAGAGACGGTTCAAGATGTGGGTAACGGACGCTGTGTACATGAAGAACTGCCAGAAGGTCGCCATAGGATCCACCAGTCGGGACATCCGGTTCTACGACGTATCGTCATCACAGTACTTCGAGGAGTATCATCTCTTTGGTAGGCTCTAGAGGATTTTTGTGATGTTGTGGGACGTTATCGCTCTTCTGGACGCCCCACAGTCTTTCCCTCTCCTCCTCTCCTTTTCTGTCTCTCTCCCCCCCCCTCTCTGTCTCGCTCTCTCTCTCTCTCTCTGTGCTTGTGTGTGTGTGTGTGTGTGTGTGTGTGTGTGTGTGTGTGTGTGTGTGTGTGTGTGTGTGTGTGTGTGTGTGTGTGTGTGTGTGTGTGAAAGATCAAGAGAGAGGGAAAGAGAGAGAGAGAGAGAGAGAGAGAGAGAGAGAGAGAGAGAGAGAGAGGGAGGGAGGGAGGGAGACACTCTCACAGACGGAGAGATGGAGACAGAGAGAGGGTGAGCGTGTGTGTGTGTGTGTGTGTGTGTGTGTGTGTGTGTGTGTGTGTGTGTGTGTGTGTGTGTGTGTGTGTGTGTGTGTGTATGCAGGTGTGTGTGGACTCTTCACATGTAGAAATGTCACATATAAATCGACCAGAGGAACTAACAGTTCTGTCGGTGACTTGCTGGTTCTCAGTGTCGATGAGCCTTGTTCGAATCCTTAACGCAGCAGTTTTGGACATGTGTGGATTAAGGGTTTTTTAACTGTGCTACATGGCACTGTACAGGGAGGACAAAGGAGAGGCAGACAGAAGAAGAGATGGGAAGACAACATCCGAGAATAGACAGCCATAGAGCTGCGTGGCACACTGAGGAAAGCAGAGAGCCGAGAGGAGTGGAGATTTGCTGTCAGCTGTCAGAGGCAACCCTACGGAGGACACATCAATAGGAGCAGAAAGATTAAGGGGTTTTCAAGATACTCAATAAATGATTTGTTTTTACTTTTTACTTACAGCAGAGAAACCATTCAATACCGGTCTAATGTCTTAAATTATTAAACATTGTCAGTAAAGCCAATACAACTGAAAACTCACTAACACATGTTCTTTATTCACAGCCATGGCAGACGTGCCCTACTGCTTCGACTACCACTTCAACCCAAAGGTGAGAATTGATACTCTGAATAGATTGAAATAAATTGGGGGAGGGGGGGGGTAAAATATACTTTTACCATCTGATGTCAAAATTAAAATACCCCCCCCCCCGCCCCTTAAAATAAATAAAAGAGAATCCCCTAAACCAAAGAAAAACAAATGTAAAAACAAAGACCAACAAGCAAACAACAACACGCACCGACTTTAATAATTCTGAATTTAGAAAAAAAAATTCTACTTAGTTGTTAGGTTTGATATGATAACACTTCAGAATGAGAGCAGTTTCCTCACAATGTGGAACTGTTGAACGGGTTTGTGTGCTCTCAAAGTTAAGCTTGAAAGCAAGGAAAACCATGATCGGTTTTGTATATCTTCACAAAGATTTACTTTGCAAATATTTGCCCACCTACTTTGCTGTTTTGGTGCGTAGAGGTACTTGCTGTAATCCAGGTGTTGTAATTTATTGTGATACTATTACAGTACCGCTTCGTCTATTCCAGTAAAGACTGACAGGCCTTCACAATATTTATCTGGGCCGAGCCCATTCACGTCATTTAATGCAATCTCCTAAATCATAATCCAAACGGATTAAAGAGAGAGAGAGAGAGAGAGAGAGAGAGAGAGAGAGAGAGAGAGAGAGAGAGAGAGAGAGAGAGAGAGAAAGAAAGAGAGAGAAGCGAAACAGACAGACACATAGAGAAACAAGCACATACACACACACATGCACACGCACACACACAAATACATAGAGACAGAGAGACACATCAATTTAAACCAAGATAAAAAGACACATTGAAAGACAGAGACAGGGAAACAAAATGAATATTAAAAATATCTGATCACCAATTAAAATGATACCACTTTCTTCCCCAGCACCCAAACACAAGCTCACTATTGGTGTTTGGCAATGACACTGGCGCCATCCACCTGCTCACCTTCCTCAAGCCTGTCACTCAGCTCTTCTCCAACCCTTTCAAAAGTGACGGAGGCGTGCAGAAAATCTTCATGCAGGTACCCAAATCTGTGGATTTCAACACATTTTTCGGATTTTTATTTCAAATAAAGGACTTCGTTTGAAATCTATCTATCTATCTATCTATCTATCTATCTATCTATCTATCTATCTATCTATCTATCTATCTATCTGTCTGTCTGTCTGTCTGTCTGTCTGTCTGTCTGTCTGTCTGTCTGTCTGTCTGTCTGTCTGTCTGTCTGTCTGTCTGTCTGTCTGTCTGTCTAACTATCTGTCAATCTCTCGACTTCTTTCTCCATAAAGTATCATTGCAATTTTGTATACTTACGTCATGGAATCGCATATAACATCATAATTAATACGGATTAGAGAGGAAGGAAAAAAGATGAGAAGAGAGAGGAAGAGAGAGGGAAAAAGAGAGATTGAGAGAGAGAGAGAAAGAAAGATTTCTCTAAGTTATGATAATGGAAGAAGTAAGGAAGACGAGAGAAAGAGAGAGAGAGAGAGAGAGAGAGAGAGAGAGAGAGAGAGAGAGAGAGAGAGAGAGAGAGAGAGAGAGAGAGAGAGAGAGAGAGAGAGAGAGATGATATTGTTTCACGATGCCATCGACGCAATCCCGATCATTTAGAGGGCGGCATTCGTCGGCCGTGCCTTTCAGAGAAAACCCAGTTAAGATAAAACGGATAAAACGTCGAAGCAGACAGATGGAGACACTTTATTAAATGAAAACAACAGACTCGGGATCAGAACTTAAGTCTTTAAGTTCTAACAGCCGCGTCACAGACGTCTGCAAAGAAGAAGAAGAAGAAGAAGAAGAAGAAGAAGAAGACGTTTTTGAGCTTTCAGTTTTTTGAAATTACAATTTCTCTTGCAGAAGTTCTATTGCTTTTCAAGAAGCTATTTTTGTGTTCTCCATATTTCAGGGCATTGAATGCTTCGATCACAACAAAAATCTCAACTTGCTAGTCACCGGAAGTGGTGATCACGTGGTTCGGCTCTGGAATCCTTACGTCACGAACAAAGCGATTGCCATTCTGCCTGGACACGCTACAGGTGTTGTGGGCGTGGCTATCCACGAGGGTTTTAGACAGGTCTTCAGTTACTCCAAGGATGCAGTAAGTCGATATTTGATCTAATTCAAAGTAATTCTTACGACTGGTTTTGTTTATATAATGTTTTGGTCAAGTTTAATTCTCTGCTATACTCAGCTGCATCATATCAAATGCAAAGCGCTTGGTTGTAAAGTAAGCGCAAAGTAAAGAGAAGAAACACAAACGAGGCAGGGGAAGTTAGCTAACTAAAGGTCCTGTGAGTCAAAGGATAGACGTTTAAGTGTATTGAGATACCATTAGAGGCATTGTATTACCTTCTTAATTTTCACCTTAAACTACTTGGATAAGCCTAAGCTCACATCAAAGCAATGTTTTGATAGTGCAGTCCCTTAAACTAGGTTCTAACGTTTTGTTATGCACAAATCCTTGAAACTAGCCTGCCCGATCTACCTAAAAATACCGCACTTAGCATGAACGAAAGAAAGTTATCAAACTGCATTTCCATTATTACTATTGCAAACAGTTTGGTATGTTGATGGTGGATAAAAGAATTCGAGAAAAGCACTCTATTAGAATAGTTCAGCTACAGAGAGTTTGGAGCGATGTTTGTCAATAGTGTACTGTTATTTTAGTCTAAACTGCTTCAGGATTATTTAAGTCACTTAAACCAAAGTTATGTCATTCTACTCTTGGCAATAAGAAATCAATGTCAAATTACCTGTATTATTCTTCTGTGCTCAGGTGATCAAGGTGTGGGACGTGAAGGAACACACATGTCTGCAGACGATTGTCCTCAAGTTCCCCTCTTCCCTCCACGGACGTATGCCTGAACACGGACAGTTCCCACTGCTTCTGCTACAGGGCAAATCCAACAGGTAAGCAAAAAGCTTTCTTATGGGTTTTTTTTTGGTCAGTGTTAGACGGCTATCGTAACTGCATAAGGTCATATAAGCGCGCTGCACACATTAAACATTTTCAATAGGTAGGAAATTTTGAATTTTGCACTAATGGCGACCTAAACTACGCTTACTGATTGGGTATCGCCAAGGCAACTTCAACGTTACTTGCTCATGGGACCTCGGAGATTTTAGGCTCTTATCCAAGAAAGCTAGGCATAGATCTTACTTACCATAAGGTCAGGGATGTGGCTGAAAGACAGCAGTAGGAATGAGCTAATGGGTAGCAGCAGAAATGCTACAGAAAGAGCCAGGAGTCCAGAGGGGCAAAGGAGGTGAAGGGGTGGGTGCAGAAAGTGGAGACGAAAGCAGATGACAGAACATTGTTAGAGAGCATGAAAGGATGTGAAAGGAGACAAATTTATTTAGAGAAGAAAATTTTCTTTCGCTATCTTGATTTGAACCCGGGACCTACTGAATGAGAGGGGAACACCTTAACAACTAGACCATTAGAGCCCCCTACATAGACCTTTAACTGTGTCATTTAACACTCATCATTATCATCATCATCATCATCATCATCAACAACAACAACAACAACAACAACAACAACAACAACAACAACAACAACAACAAAATAACAAACAACAACAAGAACAGCAATGACAACTACAACAACAAAAACAAACTACAACTACAGCGACGAAAATATTAATAGAATCCATTCCATCCCGTCCCTGTGTTTGAAACAGTGCTCTCCTGGTCACCTGTAACGACTACATAGGGGCCTTGAGGCTAGGCAAAGTGGAGGAGAACACGTCACACCTTCAGGTGACACACGACACACAACTCTGCAGCGCCATCTACAATAAATTCCTGAAACAGGTGAGAGAGATAGTGAGAGAGAAAGAGAGAGAGAGAGAGAAAGAGAGAGAGAGAGAGAGAGAGAGAGAGAGAGAGAGAGAGAGAGAGAGAGAGGATACCCATTCCCATATGACGAAGACAAGCTTTCTATTATTTTCTGTCGTCGTTTCCGTCCCATCATCCAGGTTGTGACGGGCTGCGACTCCTCCACCATCGCTGTGTGGGACATCGAGACGGGGAACAAGTCCATTGTCTTCTCTAACGCTCACGGTGACGAGGAGATCACCTCAATGGCCTTCGACACCACATACAGGAGGCTCATCTCCGGCGCCAGGAACGGCACTGTTAAGGTAGGAGGAGGAGGAGGAGGAGGAGAAATAAGAGGTGAAATGGAGGAGGAGATGGAGGAGGAGGAAGAGGAGGAAATGGAGGGGGGTAGAGGAGAAGGAGATGTTGGAGGAGGGAGAGGAGGTGGAGGAGGAGGGGATGGAGAAAGGGGTGGGTGAGGAGGAGGAGGAACAGGAGAAAGAAGAGGAACATAAAGACTTTTTATTACTGATAATAATGATATTAGTAGTGACACTACTGTCTATACTGCTGCTGTCGCTTCTGCGCTGTTAATGCTGTCACTTCCACCATCCTTTGGGACATACATGTTACGACCTGTCATTCTCTTTTTGTGGCGCCTATGTTAATTACTTGTCGAAATGTATATATATACTGTCAAACCTGATCTAATGTCTACCTATATAAGACAATCATCCGAACAAGCAGCCACTTCCCATTCCCCTTCCCTCCTTCCCCTTGCATTATTTTTGCAGTATAATGACACTGTTTAGTAAGACGTCCACCTGTCAAGACAGCCACTTTATTCTCTCGACAATGGGTGGTAGTCTTAGACAAATTCTACTGCGTTTATACATATTATCCATGTATATTGTGAATGTATACCATTTTATACAGGTTTTTCTGCATATCTATCAATGATCTTCCTCAGGTGTGGAACTTCCAGAATGGACATAATCTACATAAACTGGAGCCAGTGGGAGAGGCAGAAGTGACTGGCATCGTCCAGTTGCCCGACAAAAAGGTTATCTTGACCGTCGGATGGAGCCAGCTCATCACTACCTATGACGACACAGACGCAGATGTAAGGCATTTAATTTAGAGGATGCTCACAATACTTTGTTTTCAATTTTTGGGGGGTATCATTTTTTACGTCTTAGTGTACAGCGATTAATTAAAGTATCTGTTGCAGAGCGTATAGAGTGTGCTGTAGAGCATGGATATGAGCTAGATTATTGCAGTTACCATTATCATTATTGCCATTATAATTATTTTTGTAATAATAGTAAT